TAGAGCTCTGAAATGACAAATGACTCAGGTGCATATCTGAATTGAGCAAATAAAAGGATTATAGTTAGTGTTCTTATAAGAATAGCAAAAAGTAATGACTAATAATTCTGGGAAGATCGTATTTGTGTTAGGTGTTGGCAGCTCTATGTGTAGATGGTAAAGATGATATGGGGACTCACTTCTTGGGGCAGGTAAACTGGATATGTACCCTTTTCCCCTGTCACATGTGAAACTGCTCTCAGTGTGCTATCCACCTCACCTCACATCTCAAGAACATAAAAAAAAAAAGAGCTGAGATTTTGGCATGCCACCATTGGGGTTTTACAACCACTGGTTTATATTATTCCTCTTGTTCTTGTTTCTTTTTGTGTACACTCCTTTTCCTATTGCAGAGTTTGACAAAACTTTAAAAAAAATAAAATGCCAAAGAAAATATTTTAGATTTTGTGGCTATGTGCTACACTCAGCTTTGCAGTTGTAGCAGAAAAGCAGCCAGAGAAAATAGAGAAACAAGTGAGCATCACTATGTTCAAATAAAACTATTTAGGGACAATGAATTTTTAATATAATTCATATACTTTTACTTGTCATAAAATATTCTTCTTTTGATTTTTCCAACCATTTAAAAGCTTAAAAACCATCCCGAGCTTGTAGACCATACAAAATAGATAGTTGGGTGAATTTAGTCCATAGGTCACAGTTTGCCTACTTCTGCCCTATTGCTTTTCTGAATTTTCCATAGTTATCTTCTCAAAAACTGTGCAAGTTATTTCCTAAACTGAATATTAAAAATATGTAATTCTGTGTTTTATTATTGTATTGGTTTTCTGTTTCCACTATAACAAATTGCCACCATTTAGCAGCTTAAAACAACACAAATATATTATCTCACAGTTCTATAGCTCAGAGGTCTGGCTTGGCTTGGTTTGATTCTCTACTCAGCATTCACAAGACTGAAATCAAAGTATGTGCTGGCTGAGCTCCTGCTCATTTTGGTGGGTAGAATTTGATTCTTTGTGGTTGTAGGAATGAGGCTCCCATTTCCTTGTTGGCTATTAGCTAAAAGCCAACCTTAGGTCCTAGAGGCTTCTCTCTGTGGTCCTTATATGCGGACATCTATATCTGAGTTGTCTTAGTGTGCCAAATCTTTTTCTTATTTGAAACCTCTCTATTGTAAATTGTGCTGCTATGAATATTGGAATAGCTAGGTGCTGGAAGCAACCTAGATGCCCATCAGTAAATGAACGGATCAAAAAACTATGGTACATTTACACAATGGAATTCTATGCAGCAGAAAGAAAGAAGGAGCTCCTACCCTTTGCAACAGCATGGATGGAGCTGGAAAGCATTATGCTAAGCAAAACAAGCCAGGCAGTGAAAGACAAATACCATATGATCTCACCTTTAACAGGAACATAAACAACAAAACAAAGAAACAAGCAAAATATAACCAAAGACACTGAAATAGGGGACAGACTGACAGTGACCAGAGGGGAGAGAAGAGGGAATTTCAGGGGAGAATGGGAAGGGTTTACAGGAACAAATTTAAAGGACACATGGACAAAAACTAAGGGGAGGGTGGCAATGGGAGGGAAGTGAGGAAGGTTGGGTGGGTGGGCTGGAATGGGAGTAAAAGGGAGAAAACTGTACTTGAACAATGATTAAAATAAAATTTTAAACAAAAACAACAACAACAAAAAACAAACAAAAAAAGAAACCTCTCTGACTAATTGTACAGCATCTCAGCATTTGAATTCTTCTTCTTCCTCTGTTTTTTAACTTTTCATCTTTAATATATTTTCCATTACCATTTAGTCCCCTTATACCTCATACCCACCAGCAATCACCACTTGCTGTTTTTAAGAGCTTAGTGATACTTTGCACTCCCATAATCTAGAACAATCTCCCTGATTGGAAACTTTAATTTAATCAGCAAAGTTTAATCATAGCAGTAGCTAGATTAGCATTTGGTTGATAACTAAGAGATAAAAACCTTGAGGAATTTAGAATTTAGAATAGCACAATTACCATCTACATTTTCCACATAAATAGTAATATGTAAGTCTATAGAGCACTTGAGATGTATCCAGAAATAATTTAACCTATTCAAGCATTTGGTTTTGGTTCATTAGGTCTTCTTATATTTGACATATTTCATAAGGACATTTTATACAGTTTGGAGCTGATTTAATAGTCTGCTTCTCATTAGATGATCAAGCAACTTGGGAGTAAATCTGAGATGTACATGATATGGTATTCTTTTCAATGAATAATTTGGTCCAATAATAGAATTTTCATTCTTTTCTCAGTAGAGGAACTGTTTTATATATAAGCAACATTTTTTAATATTTCATTTTTTATTTAAATTATTTTATTGTTGTTCAATTACAGTTGTGTGTATTTTCTCCCCACCCCCTACAAACCCACCTTCCTCCCTTGCTTCCACCCTCTCCCTTGGTTTTGTCCATGTGTCCTTTACAGTAGTTCCTGAAAACCCTTCTCCCCACTGTCCCCTCCTCCTGCCTCTGGCTATTGTTAGATTGTTCTTCATTTTAATGACTCTAGTTATATTTTGTTTGCTTTTCTCTTTTGTTGATTATGTTCCAGTTAAAGGTGAGATCATATGGTATTTGTCCCTCACTGCCTGGCTTATTTCACTTAGCATAATGCTCTCCAGTTCCATCCATGCTGTCGCAAAGGGTAAGAGCTCCTTCTTTCTCTCTGCTGAGTAGTATTCCATTGTGTAGATGCACCATGGTTTTTTGATCCACTCATTTACTGATGGGCACTTAGGTTGCTTCCAGCACTTGGCTATTGTAAATTGTGCTGCTATGAACATTGGAGTGCATAGGTTCTTTTGGATTGGTGTTTCAGGGCTCTTAGGGTATAATCTGAGCAGTGGAATTGCTGGGTCAAAAGGCAGTTCCATTTTTAGTTTTCTGAGGACATTCCATACTGTTTTCCACAGTGGCTGCACCAGTCTGCATTCCCACCAACAGTGCACTAGGGTTCCCTTTACTCCACATCTTCTCCAACACTTATTGTTTGTTGCTTTGTTTATGATGGCCATTCTGACCTGTGTGAAGTGATATCTCCTTGTTGTTTTAATTTGCATCTCTTTGATGGCTAGTGATGCTGGGTATCTTTTCAAATGTCTCTGGGCCCTCTGTATGACCTCCTTGGAGAAGTGTCTGTTCAAGTCTTTTGCCCATTTTTAATTGTTGTTTTTTTTTTTGTCTTCCTGGAGTATATATAAGTGACTTTTGTCTCCTGTGTTCAGAAGTAGGGTAGGATTTCAGGGTAAATGCTGTGGGGAAACAATTTGGTATATTTTTCTGGAGAATTTTTAAATTATTTTATTGTTGTTAAATTATGGTTGTCCCCATTTTCCCCTCATTGCTCTCCCTTGCCCTGCCCTGCCCATCTTCCCCTTCCATATTCAGTCCTCACCCCATTGTCCTTGTCCATGGGTCCTTTATACATGTTCCTTGACTTGACCCTTCCCTTTCTTTCTCTCATTAACCTCCTCCCCACTCCTCTCTGGTCAGGATCTAATTGTGATTTTCTAAGTCCAATCAATTACTGAGTCACACAGATATAATATTCTGAGCCAAGAAATCTCTATTTGGCTCTCAGATGCTTTGTTTTAGCCACCATGTCACCAGTCTTGTTGCCCTTGTGATACCCTAGTTTATATCTTCATATTTTTCTAGCCTATCTTTTGTCATAACTTCGCAATTGACCTGCCTGCTTCTGGTTTCTCCTTTCTCGATATAATATTCCAGAGATTATATGATCCAACCTGAACTTTAGAAAAGCTGCCAGAGTTCCCCCATTGCCTCCAGAATAGCATTCCAACTCCTTTGTGTGACATTCAAAGATTTCCATCATATGACTCAATTCTATCTTTCAACCTCCTTTTCCATTACAACCCTCCACAGAAGTGTTGGGACAATAGTGTTTACTAACTATTGTCCCAACAATAGAGATGGGCCATCTTCTGAGAATGGAACATAGGCCTGTGTAACTAGGGTAAAGTGTTTGTGTAACTATTGAAGGTGGGTGGAGCATGGCTTGAAAGATAGCTTTGATTATTCAAAGATTCTTCTTCTTTACCTTCACCATTCAAATGATTATGAAATCCAGACAAGCCCTTCTAACAGTTGTGTTTTTAGTTTATCTCCCCCTTTCTGTTAGTCTTGCCATTGTCCTAGCATGGGTCTTGTCATCTCTCTTCTGGACTATTGCCATGGCTAACCTGTCTCTTTGCACCATTCTCTCTTTACTCTAACCCAGTCATCATATTACAGTAAGGTATCATTCTAAAACAGAGTCTTATCATGGCCCCTTTGTAATTCAAAACCTTCACTTGTCCCCCACTATTTCCACTGAAAATTATTTACCCACTAATGCAGTAGTTAAGAACTTGAGCCCTAAGCCAGGCTGCTTGGGATTGGATCCTAATTCTACTTACCAGCTATGTGATGGGAGGCATGCTATTTTACTGCTCTAAATCTCGGTTTTCTTATCTGTAAAATGGGGATATTAATGGTTATACAGAGTTTTTTTAGGATAATTTTTTAAGATTTTATTTATTTATTTTCAGAGAGGGAAGGGAGGGAGATAGAGAGAGAGAAACATCAAAGTGCGGTTGCTGGGGATCATGGCCTGCAACCCAGGCATGTACTCTGACTGGGAATTGAACCTGCGACACTTTGGTTTGCAGCCCGCGCTCAATCCACTGAGCTACGCCAGCCAGGGCTAATACAGAGTTTTTATGTGGATAAAAATATAGTAAGTATGAAGAACAATTACCAGTACCTGGTACATAGCAAGTATTCAACTAATATTGGCCATAATAATCATTGTAGAGTACTCCAGAGATTGAGATGGGCTCTCTAATAACTGCCTTTTTTTTTTTACTTAGTTAGAAATTTTTGAGAGTTATCTATTTGGCTACATAACTGAGTTTTAATGTTCTCCCCTTTTGCCCTCTGTAGGCAACTAAGGATTGTAACTGGTGAGTGGTTTTTTGAAGAAAAGTCAAAACGTTTCAAGCAAGCCAATGTTCTAGGCACAGATGTTGTCCGACAGTCCATCTTAAGAAGAAATCCAGGTAATTAAAGAAATTATTTGGTCTCAAAAGTGTCTTACTCTGCATTTTGGCTGGCTAAATAACTTCACTATACTATGTAACAAATGAGCACAGTTGAATTTCCTGAATCCTTTAGGTCCTTTCAAAACATGAAATCTAAATTTGTAATTCATGCAAGGGAAGAGGAAGTCAGTAGAAAAAATACACAGTGATTTTCTGTATATCTGATATACTGAGGCTGTTAAAGGAAGCATTTGTATTCATCACAGTTCTTTTACTAAATGCACTTCCAATATTTTACTAAACATTTAAGGAATTAACATAAAACAGATGAATTGTATGATTCACGTTGTGAAAGCTATCCTTGATTTTTCAACAAAATGTTTTTCAGATTTCTTAAAAATATTACTTTTTCTAATCCAGTTGTTCCCAACCATGGGACGATATTGTGTATTTGCCCCCTTCCCCAAGCCAGGGGACTATTTAGAAATGCAAGGGGACATTTCTGGTCATCTCTATGACTTGGGGGGAAGTCATAGATGGGAAAATTAACAGAATTTAGCTGGCATGTGCCAGAGATTTCCATGTTCTGAAAGGCACAGGACACTTTTACTCAGTGAAGAATTATACTGTCACCAAATGAAAATAACAGCCCACCCTGAGAAGGCTACTCTGTACATTCAAACAATAATTTAATTGGTTAAATATTGAGTGAAACTTGTGTTTAAGAGCATATTTCTCATGTGTGGCATAGTACAGGTGGAGCAGGCATCTTCTGGCCTGTTCCTAGGGTATCTGATATTTCATATACCAGAGACTAATTCCCTCGTTTTGAAGTGTGGCAGGAAGGGCTGGAAGGCTTGAAATTGTTTCAGTGCCACTTCTGGGTGTGGCACTAGAAGGAAGGGCTTTCTCAGATGGGTAAGATCAGGTCTGATGACACAAAAGGACAGAATGGAGTAGAGTTAGAATTAAGCAGTTAGCCATGGCTGCTTCTTTCACTTAAACCTCAGTACTTTCCAGAGTATGAAATGTCTTTCAAGTTATGAGGTGTATTCACAGGTACTCACTCTCCCATTAAATCTGGCTTATGTACTAGAAACCAGAGTATCATTTCTAGAATCCTATCCTGAATTCAGTTTCTAAGGATTTGGAGTTCTCATGAACCCAGGCTCCTCTACCCTAAAGACATCTTAGGAGGAAGATGTATTGTTCTTCCATTGCAGTCATCCCTAGAAAGCTTAGCTCAGCAAACTTCCCACAGATCAGTCCTGATGTTATTCCTCATTTAACTCTGGAATGCTCAACTAATAAGGAATAACAGTGTGACTGGGAATTTTAGGAAGGGATTATCATTGACAATTATTATAGACTTCTTTGCCCTGTGCTAATGTAGGAAAGTGAATAAAGAATATAAAATTGTTCTCATTTCTAACCATTTTGTATGTAAATTTGTTTTCTGATTATTTTTAATGAGGAGGTGAAGAAATACAAAGCCAAGAGAAAAACCACCAGGATGCACAAAAGTCAAACACTTCACCTTCTGCTGGGCAGAAGGCCAGCCATGATGGGCTCAGGAGAAAGGGGTAAGACACAGACAACCCAAAGGGAATTTTTTGTCTTTATTCCAAACACCTCTAAAATAAAGACTCCTTAGTTTTTGAAGTCTGATGTCACTATAGTGACCCAGAGAAGGTCAGAGATTCAGCTAGGGAAACATCTTCCTGAAGAAATGCAGTTTTAATTATTTTTGGTGTTAGGTGAATAAAGGCTCCCTCTGACCTTTATTCATGTCAGAGTGAATAAGAGTTTATCTTCTCATTTATAAGAGTTTTTCTTTCATTTGTCATATCCAGTCTTGTACCAAGTGGTTCTTACTGCTTCTAGGTAGAAGGTTTCATGTCAGGGCCAGTCTTGTCTATAAAGAGGTGATGACTGCCTTTGTTGTAGAATGTCAACACCCCTACTCCCATTCTGAGTGTTGATATATGAAATGTTCAAATCAAAGACTTATATTTGGGCTGAAAACATTATATCACCTATTTAAAATTCAGGCTTCCCTAAGGGAAAAAAATTCAAATTTGGCTACCTCAGTAACAATTCATAAAGCAAATATATGTGTAAGGTATATTTGAGAATTAAGAGGCACACCAGGAATCAAGATTCAAGGAGGCACTAGGAAACTGGGGTCAAAAAGGTTCCATTAAGGGAGAGAAGTTGTCCCCCAAATGCCAGTGCTAGGAAACACAAGGAAAAATGCTGCTTCATTTCTCAGGCAGCTGTTGGGTAGTTTTGTGGCTGAAGTAGTGAGAGTTCTAGTATGGACCAAATCATTTTATGGTCCTTTCCAGGTAGCAAGCCATTGTTCTCTCAGCAGAAATCAATGGTAGCAAGCCTACCAGTGTTTGAGATTTTATCTGGCTCTACAGAAAATCTTTTTTTTTTAAAGAATCTTGAACTGTGAGTAGGAATGAAACCTAAATGTCCATTAACTTAAATACTCATGACTAATCATGTCTTCATTAATTAACAGAGATGAATGGAAAAGACAGGCTATAGTGACCATACATTCAATGTATTGATTCTTCCTACCATGTTACATTCATTTGTCACTCCTTAGGACTCTCACAATGCCTTGTGCTTGTTCATTATTCCTTGCATTGCTTTCTGACATCCCCCTGAGCACACACTTAATTGTAAGCTCCCTTAGTACTGGCCCTGTGGTGTTTTTTGTTTTTTGTTTTGTTTTGTTTTGTTTTGCTTTGCTTTTGTGCTATAGCATGGTGCCTGGCTCATTAAAAACAATCAAAGACTTGATGGAATAAGTAACTCAGAGCCACAAGTTCTCCGAGGAGCTGTACTTTGCAGACCCCACTTTAGTCATTACTCTGTAGGTTACAACAGAATGCTGAACGTGGAGCTTGGAGAAAGTAAGTAAGTCACCAGCACAATGAATTATATATACCTTGGATTGTTAAAAATAGTCATAGCATTGGACTGAGCCCTGCTGGAACTCAACATTGGTATCTGATGGTTCTCAGTCTTCAAGGGATATAAACACCTGGTTGAGGAGAAAAGGTACATACTTGAAAATTTAATATGTATAGAAAAATTTTAGGAAAATATAAGATGATACTATAAGCTGCTGCCTAAAAGCCTTTCTAAAACAAGACAAGGTATTAATTAACTACAAGAGATGTCTTAAGCAGTAAATAATTAAGTAAATATTAAATAAGTGGCTTAGGTAATCAATGTCGGAAGGGGAGAGGGGCCATCAGGAAAGACATTCAATTGTAAGTGGGACTTGATGAGGACTTTGAAAGATGGTTGGGGTCCAATACAGCAAAAAAAAAAAAAAAAGAGGAGAGTGATCAAAGTGGAGGAATCACCTTAAGTAGAAGGTCAGAGGTAGAGATATGTAGAAGGTGAGACTCAGAGCAGCATAGGTTGATAGTATAATAAGTGCTATTCTTACCCCCCCAATGTAATTTTCTAGTTATATTGAAGGTTCTGACACTTTGACAAGACACTCTTCCAGTGGTCTTTGAAACAAAGATAACTTGGCAGATTCTGTTAAGAGTATCCTAGTACTTTTGGATACATTTTTTTTTTCTAGAAAACTGTAGAATGTTGAGTAAATGAACTAGACTCTCCCTGTGCCACCACAAAAATAATACAGCTTTGTTTTGTTGTTGTTGTTGTTTTAAGATTTTATTTATTTATTTTTAGAGAGGGAATGGAGGGGGAGAGAGAGAGAGAGAGAGAGAGAGAGAGAGAGATTAATGTGCAGTTGCTGGGGGTCATGGCCTGCAACCCAGGCATGTACCCTGACTGGGAATCGAACCTGCGACACTGTGGTTTGCTGCCCGCGCTCAATCCACTGAGCTATGCCAGCCAGGGCTAAAAATAATACAGCTTTGGTTTTTATTAAAGTACATTTGAAAACCCTCATCTTTGGGACATTCAGTAGCCTGGATCTTGACTTGAATCTTGGTTTCTGAAAGCTGTTTTTTGCTCGAGATCTAAATGATTTAGTGACATGCAACCAGGTTTCATCCTACATGAGACACTCCATTGTTCAAACTTCATTACCACAATGGAAAATGTCATGGAAGATATAAAGATTGTTCCCACCACACGAGTTCAGTCACTCATTCTACAGTAATCACTTGGGTTCTAGTATTTGTCAGGCATCATTCTGTGTTTGGGGAACTTGGTAGGAACTAAGAAGGTCAGAGTTGCTGCTGTCATGGAGCTGCAATCTAATAAGCTGCCACCTTAGTTTATCCCCAAGGATCGTTTGAGCTCCCCTGTCTAGCAAAATGAATTCAAGCTTTTTATTCTTAGCACTCCTGCAAACAGACTCAGTACACATAGTGGTTCTCTATTCTCAGGTTACAGTGGTGAGTTCCCAAAGTCAGTGGTCTGTTTATTAGCATGGAGAGAGGCTTGGCTTATCAGCAAGTGTTATGGCCGAGGGAGACTGTCATAACCTCTTCCACCACCACACTTGACACTATAAAATAGAGGCATGGGAACTCCCCACAACCACTCAGCCCCAAGGCTAATCATTTACTGTTGAAAATACTATCAATGGTATTCTTGAAATTATATTTTTAAATGATTTCATTTTTATCTTTTAAGTATATTTATATGCTTTCAGATTTCTTCTTAGCAAGTTCAGATCAGCAACCAGAGGAGAAATCATCATAACGTCAAAAACTGAAAGTGGGCGGAGTTACAGCGTGGACTTAGATAGCCAAAATTTTCGGTATTTAAAGTCAGCCCCCAGTTCAGACAGGTAAGACACATGCAGATTGGGCAATGGTATAATCTGGTTACAGTTGATGTATTCCCATCCAAACAGTGCTTCTAGGTGCCTATAAAGTATTATCTCTTGGAGAACCCCTAAAACAATGTGAAAAGCAAAGAGGACATTTTTTTAACTTGAAATCAAAAGCACTTATACTTCTGGACTGCAGTTATTGCAATAATTTGTGTTAACTGCAGGGACAAGACTTTATGTTTTTATGTTTTGGGACTCAGAGCTGCAGTTCAAATGGAGATGTACAAGGAAAATACATTCTTTTCATTGATTTATTGATCTGTTTCTGTTTAGCCTTCTGAAGAAGAAAGCTCTAAGTGTCATGTGCATTCCTTTGTGCATTCCTTGTAGCTTTTAAAAATTTACTAACGTCATCTGCACTGCCTCAGAGATTTTTCCATAAATTCAAATTCTTTCTAGTTCCACCTCCTTTAACTTGCTATCAGTGAGGTCAAGCGAGAATCTTCTATGTACAGAACTATCACCTTCTCAAGCAAAGTAAAGAGAAATAGAAAGATAGCCAAGAGCATAGTCATTTCATATCAAACTTGATTTTCTTGATCCTCTTGGGGCATAAGGTAGGGCTTACTTTCACAATTAGTCTATTTTCAAAGGCAGTGATGAAAGAAAAGGTCTACCTTCACGTTTCTCTGCTTCTTCAAAATGTTAACTTTCTTTTGTTTGCTTGGAGCTGCAGTAACTCAGCAAAGCCAAGAAGTAAAACCTACTTAGGTTCGGCAAGCAGAATTGCGTTCTCCTTGTTACTCATTTTAGAATATAGAACACAAATCCCCTAGAGAGGACACTCTTTTGACTGTTCGGTCTTTTCATTTTTTTATTTTTTCATGGAGACTCTCTATACCTGTTTTTCTCCCCTAAGGCGTTTCTTTAAACTAGTGTTACTTTATATTAAACTGCACAGAAAACAATATGGAAGCATAAAATAAATCATTTGTCCATTATCAAAAGATCATCACCATATTCAATATTTTCAAAAATTTCAAGAATATAGATATATTTCGTTTACAATAAATTTTAAACCATGTTAGCTTTTGTCTTTGAAATAGTTACCTTTGATTTTCCTTGGGGCAGCCCCATATTGTTTCCCACAAAAAAAATATGCATTACTTAGAGATGATAAGCAACTAGTTTAATGTTGCTATTTTTACTCAGCCTCTCAGGGACTTGGTGGACGGGCATCTTGGCTTACACTTCAGGCTATCATTCAAGAAGGACATTATATACAGGGTCCAGCAAAAATAACACACTTATTTCATTACAAAATCATAAGCATCTAATTCTGTAACATAACAATATCATAATCAAGCACACCATATGACATTTTAGGTGAAATGTTCAAATTAAAACTATACATTATTATACCCATATTATTACCGTACCAACCACACTCAGGCAGGTGTTACTCCTGCTGGACCCTGAGTATAAAAAGGCAATATGGAGTTCCTTGCTTATTCATATACTATATAAATATTAGTATATTTTATACTAAAACTTATTTATTATTTATATGAAATTCAAATTTAACTAGGACTTCTGTATTTTATCTGACAACTCTACTATGAAGTTTGGTGGACACACTCCAAGGCATTTCTAGGTCTCTAGCCCTAGTGCTAAAGGCCAGATTGCTGAAGGTCACAGGTGCAACCTATTAGCAGAAAAGCACTCAGAAACTAGACATGAACACACAGAGCTATCCCAGGGGTTGAAGGGAATCTGGGCAGAATATTAACAATATCTTCTAAAAAATGTAAAGGAAGAATGGAACTGAACTTACATTCACTCTGTTCAGTAAAAAATGAAGGATGATACTGTGTTTTTCAGCAGCATTTCTATTATGACATTGGAGGATATGGTAAGCATTTTACCATGGGACCTCTACATTCTCTCTTTTTCTGAGGTTTAAACTGGAATATATATTGATTAATTTTGTTTAAACACAATGTTATATTTGATTTAACATCTACTTTATCCTTGGACAAGAGACAACCTCCTTTTGATCCAATTTATTCACCTGGTCATAAGGATAGCATAGATACTCATCTCACAGGGCTATTGTGAGGATTAAATGTGTTAAACATGCCAAGCTATTAGCACAGGGCCTGCTACATAGTAAGCTTTAGTAAAGGTTAGCTGTTAACACAGTATTTATGACTTAATTCCCACTTTTCAGTAGTGTGTGAGGTCATTACAGTTAAGAACTACTTTCCAAGATAGTTTCTTTTTTTAGTTACTTTATTGTTGTTCAATTACAGTTGTCTGCATTTTCCCCCACCACTCCCCCCACCCCAGCCAAACACACTTCCCTCCCTTGCTTCTACCCTCCCCCTTGTTTTTGTCCATGTGTTCTTTATAATAGTTCCTGAAAACCCTTTCCCAATTATCCCCTTCCTCCTCCCCTCTGGTACTGCCAGATTGTTCTTAATTTCAATGTCTTTGGTTATATTTTGTTTGCTTATTTCCTTTGTTTATTATGTTCCAGTTAAAGGTGAGATCCCTCACCTTTATGGTATTTGTCCCTCACTGCCTGGCTTATTTCACTTAGCATAATGCTCTCCAGTTCCATTTATGCTGTCGCAAAGGGTAAGAGCTCCTTCTTTCTCTCTGCTGAGTAGTATTCCATTGTGTAGATGCACCATGGTTTTTTGATCCACTCATTTACTGATGGGCACTTAGGTTGCTTCCAGCACTTGGCTATTGTAAATTGTGCTGCTACAAACATTGGAGTGTGTAGGTTCTTTTGGATTGGTGTTTTAGGATTTTTAGGATATAATCTGAGCAGTGGAATTGCTGGGTCAAAAGGCAGTTCCATTTTTAGTTTTCTGAGGACATTCCATACTGTTTTCCACAGTGGCTGCACCAGTCTGCATTCCCACCAACAGTGCACTAGGGTTCCCTTTACTCCACATCTTCTCCAACACTTGTTTGTTGCTTTGTTTATGATGGCCATTCTGACCTGTGTGAAGTGATATCTCCTTGTTGTTTTAATTTGCATCTTTCTGATGGTTAGTGACGAGCATCTTTTCAAATGTTTCTGGGCCCTCTGTATGACCTCCTTGGAGAAGTGTTTGTTCAAGTCTTTTGCCCATTTTTTAATTGGGTTTTTCCTAAAGTCTATTACTGTAGTGTTTGTTGTAGCTGTTGTTTACTGTATAAATTCAAACTTCTCCATCTACAATTGAGGATTGAATAGAGGTTGGGGGGCAGGTCATAGCATTAGAAGTAGTTTTATATTCCATCACATGTACTCAATCATTCTTCATCAAAAACCTACTCTGGAATTTTCTAACTCCATTTCCTTTGTTCCTGTTCTGAACAAAGGAAAGGCCTCGTGAACTCCTACCTCTGTATGCAAGTAGTTGAATGACATCTTTTTAAAATTTTTTTATTGTTGTTCAAGTACAGTTGTCTCCATTCTCCCACACACTCCCCCCTCCCACCCTTGATCTTATCCCCCTTTGGCTTTGTCCATAAGTCCTTTATCCATGTTCCTTGATGGCCTTTCCCCTTCTTTCCCTCCATTAACCCCTCCTATCTCCCCTCTGGTTACTGTCAGTTTGTTTTTTATTTCAATGTCTCTGGTCATATTTTGCTCACTTGTTTGTTTTGTTGATTAGGTTTCACTTATAGGTGAGATCATATGTTTTTTGTCATTCATGGCCTGGCTTATTTCACTCAGCATAATGCTCTCCAGTTCCATCCATGCTGTCATGAAGGGTAGGAGCTCTACATTTGCATAACAAACTCATTTCTCATCCTTCCTCTTCATCCCCACCCAAACATATACCAACATATGATTTCATCCAAATATTTTTCACTGCTCTCCAGGAGGTCTGGGACTGACTATCATCATCTCTGCAGAGCTCCACAAGATGTTTTGGTTGGCTCCGATCCCAAAGCAGAGAACACAGTATTCAAGCTAGTCCTCACCTGCATTCCAAGCGCAAACCCTGTGTGTATGCTCACTCTGGTGCATACTCTTATGTGTGCATGCACATGTGCTCACTTTCTTGTTGTTACCCACGCTGTCCAACATACCTGCTCTCTCTCAAACTAGCACTGGCACATTGTCTCTCTCTGTCTGATTCCTCTCTCTGATCTCTCTCTGTCTTTGATTTCTCTCTCTGATCTCTGTCTCTTTTTGTCTCTCTTTCTCCCCCCTCTCTCCCTCCTTACCTCCCTCATAAACAAAGCTTGTTTAGTACTCTTATGATTAAGAAAATCATTCTTTTCTATTATTTTGGCAAAATGAGTATATGAAACCCATTCTATCAATATATCATCTATCCTTTTTTTATTAGAAGTAAAATTATTTTTCTGTCCTGAATGTAATTTTCTTTGACATCTTTGCAGTTAAGATGTCAATTAAGCAAAGGATATGGTCACAGTATTTCATGAATTGATGGGCATGTGTTAGAACAACATGTGTGAGGAAATGTGGATTCACAGGAGTCTTTAATTTTCTGTGATCATATCAGTGGGAATTATATGAGGTCGGGAGTTGCCAAATAATTCTTCAGCTAGAAGCTTCTATTTATAACTCAAAACCATCCCCTTTTTAGCTCACCCTTTGCCCACCATACACACCTACCTTGATTTGAGATCCCCTACAAGCAAACCCTGAAATAAGGATTCAAGAGCAAGTAATTTATTTAGGATGTGGTCTTGGAAAACACAGGGGAGTGGAGAAGTGAACTAGGAAAGGGATGGAAGCCAAAAAGAATGTGTCATCAAGCCAGTTTCTACTGTGCACAATTAGAGCTCAACCTCAGTGGATAACTATAGGAAACAACGTAGAACACACCTCAGCATTATCCACTCAAGAGAGCCAAAGTCTCCTGGCTGGTATTGCTCAATGGATTGAGTGCCATCCTGTGAAACAAAGGGTCATTGGTTTGATTCCCACACGTGATTGGGTTGTAGGCCAGGTTTCTGGGTGGGGGGAGCACATGATAGGC